TCCGCCGCGTCCGGGCGAGTCGTGAAAAACGCTTTTTAACCCGTAACACAAAACGATCTCACATAATTGAAACTTAAGGTCACTTACAAAATTGGCAAGGGTTAAAGGGCAAACGTGCTCAAACGCATTGCGGCCTGCATATACAACGGGAAGCACCCTATTAAGTCACGCTAAAAAAGGGACGTAGATTGTTGCAATTTTAGTTACGAACTTAATCTCACATTTTTTAATCGCCATATTTACCAAGTGCGTATTAGTTAATTCCGAAATTAGAAAAAATTAATTATATTAAAATAAAATTCTCTTAGAATTAAATCTGAGACGTCAACGTGGGAACAACCCCCTCTTTTCTTTCTTTCTATATAAATTGTAATAAAATAGGTATATATTTAAATATAAAACTTTACAAATTTAACAAATACCAGAATCTTAAAGGATTTAAGATATATTTTATAAAAACGGTATACGCAACAATTCTGATTTGCCTATCGTAAAAAGTCGTGAGAGTTGACATCACAGTGTGTGAATGTTAATAATTAGAACCTTCGCTCTACTCTATACGAAACCATGCTCAATAAGAAAAAGCTAAAGGGTGTTTTCCGAGACGTTCTTTTTCACAATGATGTTTCGTGTGACAGGGAAGGACAGTGAGGAGCATTTGTGCGTTTCGTCCCACGGGAGCAAGTCGCGATGAGGTGGTCCCCTCCCTCGCTTTCTCCACCCTCCCGCGGCTCTCTGGTTTCGTTTTTCCTTGCGACGAGATTCCGCTGGCAAGCGAGTATCAGTCAAAACACAGTATCACGTGGCACGAATCCGTCCACCATTCTGTCATGGGAAACGCGCGCGGGAGAAGCTCTCGCTCAGCGAAGACTCGGTCGTCGCCGAATATCTCGTACTGCGTTCTACGGAAAAAAAAAGGGAACGAAAAAGATTTGACAGATGTATACCGCGGTTCCCAAAGGCATCGTTCGACCGGATGATAAATCGCGATCGCACAAATATCACGTATGGCAATTAAGTTCTGCGATCGATTACGTGTATAGCTTGCTTAAAATGAATCCAAAAGAAATTTTAAAGGTAATTCATTGGAAGTGATATTTTTTGTTGTAAAACTCCACGCAGACACACTGAGGAAACTTCGGATGAATGAAAATACATGTGGAACGCTTTCTACGGAACGCTGCTTCGGAAGGATACGTGTTTCCTTTCATCGTGACTTTACCGTCGCGACACGAGGAGAGAACGAGCCGTTGGATTCGCTTCGCTTGGATTTTCCACTTTCCACCGGTCCGACTTGGATCGAGGCGAACAGCCGCGACGTCAGTGAAATTGCATAAAACTGCGACACGGAATGACACACTGATACAATTTGCGCGAGGCCGCGACGATGGCAGAGTAGGCATCGTCATCCAAATATAAACGAGTAAACGGATCAGTCTGCCGACCGTCTGGTTATTTATCCCGCTTTTCTGAGATTATCCCGAGAACCCCTTGGCTGACCGTTCGGCTCGTCCCCGCAGGGCCGCATGAATGTAAAGGCCGTTGCACGAGATGAATAATCCGCCGTCGGTCCTTGAGGAGAGACACCAGGCATTTTATCAAGAAGCTCGTAGATATCTAACGCATAAATAATAACTCAAATAAGATCAACAAGTCATTCTGGCGTTTTATATCTCTAGAATAAAATAAATGTAATCAAAAAAGGAATATATTAATTATTTAGGGAAAACAGCCATTAAAAATAGGGAGAAATTCACATTTGTCGACGATGACCGATGGGGATGGATAAAAGCCAAGAGTTAAGAATTTGCGGCGTCTCCGTGAGAGCAGAACAGTTGACTATATCTGTGAGAGAAACTGCAATATATTTATATATGTATAACAATCTGTAATACAAATTTTTAAGCGTTAAATTCAGCAGATATCGAAATTTGATTGAAAAATTTGGTATTGAATCATCTTTTGAATTTTTCCAAACAATAGTCGTAGAAAATAATTAATTAAAGCGCACATAAGTAGACCGCGATAAGTGCAATCAATTGGACACCTTCTAGCGCTGAAATGACCGACAGCAAGCTCGACAGCGATTCGATTTACGCAAAGGCCATGCAGTTTTCGCGCCGGTAAAGGTAAGTTTATAAATATACTCCGGGATTTTCAAAATAGACGTCGGACAGTCCGTGTCGCAAACCGCATGGAAACGTCCGGAACTCGACGGAAATTCAAATATCTCCAGGCACGTAGGTTCGGTGATTTAAGACACGATTTAAGCTACGCTCGAGCCAATTTCTCGTCGTATTTATCTCAACCGAAAATTATTCTCGCTGGTTACATAGTAAATATAGATCTATGACGCTTTGAGCGTATACGAATACAGAAGAATAATCCTACTAAAAAACATTGTATCACACTTGAAGCTTCTTTTTATTTAAATAATTCTCCGCACATGTTGTATATCATGTATCATCAAGTGAAATCTTTTTTGCTCTTAGCAAGAGCAAATTCAACAAATGTAATCTGGTGTACTTAAAATTTTGTGTCGATTGTCGATTGCTTTCGAATCCGAAGAATATTTTCTCTAATAATTTTTCTAGGCTTAAGTATTCTTTTTTTATTTCTTTTTATTGCATTTTTAGTTATATTTCTAAAAAATCCAACACATCGGTAGACTGAGCTTACTATTGGCGTGAGCAAACGAATTTTAACGTCATTTAGTAAATATAAGTCTTTTACGTTAGTCACTTTTCAAAGCCAAGAATTTTTTACAATAATTCACAAATAACTTTCTATTCTTATTCATTACAGTTGCTCCAATTTCAGATACGATGTTTTGATATTAAACGCATCGTTGAATTTCATTTTCTGGCTGAAGCACATGAGAAAGTTTTAATGAGAGTCGTTTGGAAAATGCAAATTTTTCCGTCGTGGCCTTTCAAAACCATGAAAATTTTAATAATAAACCAAGATCTTTTGATACAACTCGCAGAAATATAATCCCATTTGTATTTATTTTTATTGCCTCTTATAATAAAATTCTAGGTATAATATATTGTAACGTTGGAGATTTCGTTAAATCCTGTTCTCCGAGCGAAGGGCACGGAAGGGTTCTAATAAAAGTCATCTAGCAGATATAAGTTTTGCGTCGCGGCCACTTTCAAAGCCAGGAATTCTTTATGGCAAGCTAGTCGCACACACTCCCGTCCCAGATACCTCTTCGCGGTCCCGGATATACGCTTCCAGCTGTAACTAGGACCGCTCTCGATATTATAAATCAAAAACGGGCCACGTTTGTGCCACTTTTCGTTCATGAGGCGGCGCACTTTGACGGAAATTATAGTCGACCATATGTGCTGATGTGTAAAGGCGCGTAGAGATCACTGAAATGCGAACAAAGGCGCGGTGACGTTCTCGTTAAAGTCGTTAGTTTGACGAGTATCCTTGAAAATATGAAGACGAAGATATTAACACTCTCGTGATGATCTTTTTTTGAAGTTCATAAAAACCCAGGCATCCTTTATTACAAAGCTTATAACTGTTCTGAGTTTTAAGTTTTACTTCATCATGAAGATATTACTTCTTAATAACTAATTCCTAATTTCTTACTACAATCTAATCTAATTAAAAAGTGAAATTGAAGATAAAGTTCTTCAACTGTTTATCTTCTTCTTTAATAAAATATTTCTTCATTTATTTCATGGTTAAAATATATCTCACTGATAATTTCTAATCTTTTAGTATAGTATTGAATTAAAAAGTAAAATTGAAGGTGAAGTTCTTTTTAACCATTTTTTTCTCCATTAAAATATTTTTTCTAATGACTAATTTCTAATCCTAATCCTTTAGTATAATATCTAAGTAAAATGTAAAGTTAGAGATAAAGGTCTAACTATTTATCTTCTTTGTTAAAATTATTTTCTCATTTTTTTATCGTTAAAATACTTTTCAATAACATCCCTAATTTTTTAACATAATATTTAAATTAGAATGTCAAATTAAAGCCAAAGTTCTTTAGTTATTTACCCTTCCGAAAATCTTACAATTAACCCTATTTCCTCCAACGTTTTCCTCCAACCATGCACTTTCAAGTCAGACGTGTTTTTCAAAATGTTAATAGCTTTGAAAAATTCCCCAAAAATTATTATAATATCTTTGTACCTTCGACTAAAAATCAATGTCAATAACATTTGGAAATCATTTATTTAAATATTTTTTTACAACAATTATATGTTGACAAACACACGTTACGACTTGTTTTATTTAAAAAATTATAACTCACGAACAAATTGTTTGTCACGATCATTTGTTTTCCGCAACAAACGAGTGCATGTTAGAAACTCGTGGGACACGAAAGGGCGGGTTGAAGGAAATAAGGTTAATAGTCTCTTTTTTTAAAGAAAAAATATTTTTTGCGCACTGATGTACAGTATAAATAATAACGATAAAAATATTTCAATCCATCTCGTTTATTTTACATTCCATAATCTTATACAGTTACCTCCGTTCATACGTTTATGCGAAATTCCTCGTTTCCCGCCTAATTTTATTTTTCCTATTTTACCTTCCGCGATTCTTTTTAATTAATCGTAATAATTCCTTATTTCAGCTGAGAGGGCGTCGGTGCACGAGGGACCTATGTCATTGTCTTCAGTGGTAACGTCGTCGACGACGGCGATCTCTCGCCGATCGGCCGTCGGTGAACGCATCCTCCGAGTGAATCGATATTACTTGGCGTCGGGCGTCGTTCAGCAACAAGACACGCCGTCACGTGTAGCCACCCACGTGTTCACGCGCACGCTCGGAAATCTCGGAATGCCAGAATGCCACTGATGCCAGTTGCATCGGAAATGGCTCAAATGGCAGGAACGTGGAAGCGGCAGAAGCCACCGAGGTCGAGTTCCCCGTGAAAACAAGGAGTCCCTCACGTTCCTAATTCGCAGCCGGCAGATCGCAACGATGGCTTCCGCCGGTGAGTACGATGTACGCTGATAACGCGTCATCGGTTATCGCGACGATGCTCTGTTCCTACTGGTTCCTACCGCGACAAATGACGCGTTAGCGATGCGGCTTGGTCGCTGGATGCAAGATGACGATAGCGAAGCCTAATTAATCATTAGCGGAAGGATGCCAGGATCGCCGGGCAATCGACAGAATCGGAGTAATCGGACAGATCGCTGCGCTGTGCCACGCCGTCGAACTCATTTCGTTATTCGATAATTAACCCCAGCAGGTGCAAAACATGCCGGCGCCAGTGACGTACCTAGCTAAGCGTGCACTCGAGGCAACAACGTTGACGATTTTGACAGTCATCAGCGCACATTAATAAGCAGCGTGTGTAGAAATTCGTGAGATTCTTCCTAGAAATTCACAACTTCGCGTAATGTCGTTGGCGTCGTTGCAATTCTAAGTCTTAGTAACAATTTATTTTACAGAGTCTTTACATATCTATTAACAATTTATTTTGTCTTTTTTTTTTTATTTATTGATCAGTTCGCATCTCTGTAGATTTGGAGCTGGGTCAGCTGGGTGCTCAGCTGACTCGGTTCGGCGTTTCCTCCGTGACAAAAGCGCGCGTTTGAGCTCTTTTTAGCGGCGAAGGGATGGAGAGGGGATGAGAAAAAAGATGCAGCCGACGGATGGCGGCAGGCGAGCCCGCCTGCTCGAGATGGCGCTCGCCGTTATTTTGGCGGGAAAGTTTCGCGCGCGCCGGTCTCCGGTTCATTGTGTGTGTTCGTTTTTGTGCGTGTCACTACCGACATTTGCCGTGTCGGAGGAGGACAATCGCAGGGAATCGACGACTTTCGGAACTGCACTTTCGTAAGGAGAACCGTTATTTGATCCACGTTGATTTTAGGACGTCAGCTGGTTTCGAATAACACAAGCGAGTAAACATCCGCGTGACACAACCGGTCGGTGAGTGACAAAATGTTGCGTGCAATTGTTGATTGAGAATCGACGTGGAACTGCTCAATTGTCTGATCAATCGCTGGCAATTATTCTATCGTGCTACTACCATGAGATGTTCCGTTTATTTTTTCCTCGAAATAATCGGAAATATGTATTTTAAGTTTTCTGTGTTAAATAACGAAGGCAATTTTATTGTTGCTGCATTATTGCTTTGCTTATGCTGTGCGAACACTTTCGACTCTCTGGCTATAGTAATAATAATGTTTATTTCAAAAAATTGTGTTTTAATTAGATATTTCATAGCACAGACACATACGACTCTTAAACATCTTGTGTACATGCTTGAAGCACATCTGATTCGAATTCAATAAGTTTGTATTTGTTCCAAGGGAATAAATAGAAGAATTGGATATAAAGACTTAATATGAAGATATAATAATATAAAGAATTTATTTTGACTGAAGAAAGTAAGAAGTATGAAGCTGCAACTGGGTGTTAATGTTGAAAACTTGTGTATTTTTATGATAAAATCAAAACTACATACATACGTTTCTGTTATCAGACCATCTTCAGTGTAAAATTGATAAATGTCAAGGGTTAAAAATTAACAGTAAAATATTAACTAAAATATAAAACCGGAACGATTGTCGCTTAATATGTATCATCTCAAATATTATAGGAAGGTTCTTTATCTTTCAGACGTTATCCCAATCAAAGTAATTGGTTTGCAAGCGGTAGCAGTAAATACAAGTTTTCAAAGTTAACGGCCAGTTGTGGCTCTATGCTCCTTACTTTCTTTAGTTGATTTATTAATTGTCTGAGCCTTTGATATTTAATTTATTTTAAATGTTTTAAGGATTAGAAAGTATTGCGAACTATACTTTTAGCACTGATAGATTCGTAATGTCATAATAAACGAAAAATCTAAATGATAAGATTTGTTATATTGTTATTAGTAATATTGCCTGCAGGTTTATGAATCTGATGTGTACGACACATATACAAAAATGTTTTGCTAAATTAAAGCACTAAACTGAAAATTTAGATGTGTAAATGGAAAGCTTTACTAGTAGAGAGTTCCAATGAATGTGTGATAACAGATGATTGATATTTTTTGAGGATATATAATACCCTTTTGTCATTCTATTATTTTGTCTTATTGCTTTAGTTAAGATATATTATGTTTAGGTATCTTCTATCCTGATAGTGAGTTAATTCCGAGAAAGCAATTTATCTTTATTTAAAATATACTGTTACTGTTTACTCGGCAAGAAATATATACGTCATATATATTTCTTGCTGAGATCCTCAGTATGTCTTCAGTGTTAGAGAAAGTCAAACGCATTGTCTGTTCAGGTAAAGCAGCTCTTGAAGCCTTCATCAAAATGTCTGGCTCTATTGGTAAACTCTACAGACGTCCCTTCACCGTATGCGTGGAGGGCAACATAGGAAGTGGTAAAACAACGTTTCTAAGTCACTTCAAGAAATTTGACAATGTTACTGTATTAGAAGAGCCGGTCGAGCTTTGGCGTGACGTGTCTGGGACGAATCTGCTGGTAGGTCAGAAAATATTTTTGTTAAAACTTGAGAGACAATCCAATATAAATATTTAATATTTTTGTTACTTATTTACAAAGACTTCACTGCAATAATGATGAAAAAATTTATGACAAGTGATTATTTAACATATTAAATATTATTATTTAAAATATTAATGTGCATTTTATTTTGTTTTTATTAAAAATATCTCGAATTTTTGTATATCAAGTAAACTGTATAACAGCAATTGCAAGAAGAATGAAATTAATATCTTATATAAAATATGTATATTTAATATTACTGTGTTCATTATTGTGTATATCTACGTTAATGGATATTACACAAATATAAATACATTTCAGGAATTAATGTACAGCGAACCATCTCGTTATGCCTTCTTGTTCCAATCTTATGTACAATTGACTATGCTCCAATTGCACACCTGTAAGACACCCTCGCCGTACAAAATTATGGAAAGGTCCGTTTACAGCGCAATGTGCTTCGTCGAAAATTTAAAACGCAAAAATGTACTGCGTGATGTTGAAGTAACTATTTTAGAGGACTGGTATGATTGGTGTTTGAAAAGTGCCAATATAGAAACCGACTTGATAGGTATATATGATTTATAAATTTTATGCGAAATTATTGCACTTAAAGGTATATCTATTTATCTCATTTTTTATTTATATTGCTAAATAGTATACTTGAGGACGACACCTGAGATCGTATATGAGAGAATGAAACAACGAGGTCGAAAAGAAGAGAACGCCATTTCATTGAAGTATCTTAAGCAAATCCATCAGATCCATGACGACTGGCTCTATCATCAAACTCTAAAGCCAGTGCCATCACCGGTTATAATCCTAAACGGTGATCGAGAGCTCCATGAAATGGTGGAGGAATTCGATAAATGTAAAAATGAAATCTTCAGCAAGGTAATAGACGATCGCGATATAAATAATACAATGATTACTGTATCGACAAATCGTGTGCTACCCGAAATTAAAGCTATCTCAGATTAAATCGTAGAATAAAAAAAACAAAAGTAAGGATTAATTTAAATATAATTTACGCAAACGTATCGTGCATTTACACTGATTAATTATTACATACAACTTTGTTTATTGTATTATTTTAATTCCACCGGCCGCATTTACAACTTTTATTACATATAGTTTTTTTTTATTTCAAATTTATAATATAATCTGTAATTATGTATTATGCAATACATAATTAGTCGATTATTTCACATTAAAGCATTAATTTTACATTCTACTAGCATTCAAATTACAAAATTAATGCATTATAAAATATTCACGAGAGCTTTATTTGACTCAATACATATTTTGTTAATTATTTAAAATTAACTATTTTAAATAATTATTTTAAGTTAATTATTTTAAATAATATTTTGTGTGTTTTAAATAAATCCTTTGTAACGTCTTAGATATAATTAAATTTTTTACCAATGAGTACAAAATAACATTATTATCAAACGATTAGGGAATATGAATATCTATGCAAGATATCGCGTGAAGAATAATGAATTTATTTATCAAAAAATCCGTTAAAAAAGTGCGAGCGTGATTATATTGGAATATTTAATATATCCAAAACTTTTAGTTTTTTTATAAAACTGTTTTTTGTAAGATATTTGAAAAAGAAAGTTATAAAAACTTACGAAATATATGTTAATTTCTGTAAGAAAATCTAAAAATATAGGGATAGGAGAGAAAAAGAGAAGACAGATATACAAGTGCATTAATTTAAATAGTGAAAAGAAAATATATTTATTACAGGACTCGGTTGTATGCACATGCATACACTTCGGTTTTAGATAACGCTAGATTCAAATGTGTAAATGCGTATGTCTTGAATGTATATGGATTTGTATGACTCAATGAAATACATACTATTTGGAGAATTACATGTTTATTCCTGCTAGATTTTACAAAATGGATTAGAGATAAATATAAAAAAATGTATATTTATATATACACATACTCACAATACACATTGTAATATTATGTGTAAATGTGTGTATCGCGCAAAGCGACGCTAGATTCGTTTATAATGTCCTCGTATTATTATTATTATTATTAACCAGATCATGTGCCTGCTTGAAACGCAGGCTCGTTGCGATTCCGTACAATGCCAAATTGAACGCTGAATGCGAATTAGTCCAGTCAACAATATTCTTTCGACCGATTCCGACATGTTAGACGAATGTAAACGACCTTCGCAATCGGAACGGTGCGCACCGTTCTATACCGTGTGTCTATAAACTATGCGCTAAAATATACTAAAATATATATAAAAACAATGCTATCTCGAATTCAAAAAATCACAATCGCTCACATAAACGTATGTACAAATGTTAAATAGAGATTTTTACGTGCCGCGCCTAAGATGAGTTCTTACGAGCTTCAGCTAATTGCTCAACGCAGTCGTACTCCTGGCAATCCCACAGTATGCTAACTAACGTGCCGAGTTGAGCATCCCGTGTGTTGGCTTGCTTCCAATCAAGCAGTAGCTGATAGATTATCTAAAATCATTATACATAGATAAAAATGGGGATAAATCGCTCGTTATTAGTATATATTTACAAAAAGTAAATTTGTAAATTTCTCATGAAATATTTAACTACATGAATAATACTTAATATTTTATTAATAGCAATCGATCTTGTATCGATTGAATTTCAAATATCTTCTTGTTCAAACAAGATTACAGACTGATAATCGCGACGATTGATGATATGAATAATCCGGGATTATTTATTTGAAATATTTAATTCTTAGAATTCGATAATCACCTCATCGACACCAATATGCCTGAAATTCTCCTCGAATTGATCGATCTGCCCGTCCAAGTACAAGAGTTTCCTCGCGATATCCCGCCATCCGTGCCCAACGTGTATCTTAATAATAAGCATATCGTCCAACCCGAGTTCGTCTTTGCACGTACTTAACTCCTGCACATCCTCGGGCATCGGCCGTAACTTGGTCTTCGAAGCTGTCTCAGACTGCGCCGCATCATTGTTCGCCGAGTACTGATTCACTTGGCATGTGTAACTCTTGACGTTCGTGATGTTCACTCCATTAGAATTGGTTATGACAATATTTGTGCCTTTCGCTGAAAATTAGTTTCATAGAATTATTAAGAAAATGTCGCGAATTTATAACCCCATATTTGTCGCATTCAATATTGTAACTATCGTGTATGTCGTATCGCAACGAATAAGCGAGAAATTTGAAGCAACGGGAGATTTGCACGGTATGTAAAATTTCAGCAGCTATTGTACTACGTCATTATGATTCTTCCAGCGATAATAAAAAGTCTCGTAAAAAATTTCGCGATAAGAATTCTTGGATCGTCGGTTCGAGGACGAATCTTCCATTTCGTTGCACGTGAAACCACAGATATCGATTAAAAGATCACAAGTGTTTGTTCGTGAACGGAATAATTTATACTACGGTTTTTCACGTATCAAGTGCCAAAATACGCAACAGCCGAAAACAGTATTTCTTGTTCTTTTTTTTTTTAATCTGCAAATAGAAATTTATGCGCAGCCTGGGATTCCTCGAGTTTCATCGTGATAACGTGTCTCAGACGTAGAAATATTTACAATTAAGATATGTGGAGCGGGATATTTTCATTTCGTTTACTTCGGCTCGATTTTAGTAAAATTCTGGCGTCTGTGCAGCATGACTTCACTTCTCAGTCTTCCAAATCATTCCGCTGAGTAAATTGTAAATGTCATACGTCAACTTGTCGAAATATCTACGTAGCATTACGTAATTTCTTTAAGGGCATCATATCTTCTTTCTATTTATATAATGAGGATTATCTCCGTTTAGAGAACTAAGTTTAGTTGCAAAATCATGACAGGATTATATTGAGAAATTTTCAAAAATTGCATAAATATCACTTTTTTATATCATCTGTTATTTGTCCATTTCTATATAAAGAAGCAAATATATTTCACGCTTGAAAATATTCGTATGTCTTCTCCGGTTGTCATAAATCTACAGTAATAAACTTTGAAATAACGCGTAGTAAGAAAAATGTTTTAAATAAAAGTTATGGAGCGCAGTAAAAAAAGTACTCGTATACAAAAAATTCCTGACGATACTTTGTGTTGAAAATTACCGCTCTTTACAGTTACGATAACGTTACTTATTACAACTTACGATATTTCTTCGTCTTCGTTGATCGTTTATATTCCTTCGATTCGCTCGTCGACCTCGTGTCGCCGAGGTCTTCTGATGATTTTGTGCTAAAATCGGTGGATGTCGTTGGCCTCGCGTCGTTCGGCACCGATTTTTGCCTTTGTGTCGACAACGTGTCATCGACAACGACCTGCTCCTTTTGCGGCGTGGCAGGCATCGAGTTCGACTCCGTTTTCGTCAATTCCTCATCCGGGGTCGTTGAAAGATTAGGCACGTGGCTCTCGGTCCGCGGTGGATCCGGTATCGCGTCCGTCGTCAACTTATTATGAAGCCGGCGCGATAATTTGGATAGGATCGGCATTTTCTTAAATGCTCGATGTGCCTGCAAATGATATGTTAATGTTAAGATGCTTTAAGGATATTCTTTCTGGAATCTTTTTAAATAAAAACAAAGTATAAGCGTGTATATTACGACGACTATGCGTCTTAATGAAAATTTCCAGATGTATGGATATTAAATAAAAAAAGAGCCGCGTTATGTATTTTATGCAACACGTGCATGGAAAGTGGCCCATTACGCACGCTACGCGTGCGTGATAGACCACTTTCTAGGCTCTTGCAACATAAAATAGGGTGTGCAAGCCGTGCGTAAAGATAAAAATTCCCGGGTGCGGAGTTTACGCACGAGCCGAAGGCGAGTGCGGTAACCGTAATTTTCATCTTACGGCACTTGTTACACAAATAACTAATTCTTAATTCAATTTACATTATCTGCGATCAGAAAAAAAGCATGACATTTAAGGGGATGCTGGAGTCGCGGGCGAACTCGATCAGCGTCGATAAAGAAGTGCTCACCGATTCTTACATATACATACAGAGCGCAGGCAAACTCGACCAGCGTCGATAAAGAAGTGCTCACCGATTCTTACACATACATACAGAGCGCAGAGTTTTTGGCTGAATTCGGGGAGACGCGTAACATGTGCATATGAAATTTTCTAACATACTTTTCTCTTATACTAAAGCTTGCAGCTCATTTCTGCAAGCACAGGATTCTTCTTTATTGTATTTCTGTGACGGCTGCAAGGTTTTTGTATACGTACACAGTCTAAAACTTTTATCTGCAGCAAATGTTGTCATGAGTCGACCGCAGAATCGAAAATAAAAATGTAATTTTCTAATTTTTTTTCGTTTTTTATACGCAATTGGTGCCTGCCGTCTTCGTTATCGTCCATACTTTAATTTTGGACAAAAAATTTTTAATTCGGTGAAATCAATCAAAAGATTTGTGTGTCTGAAAATTTCGTGGTAAAACAGACCTGTCTCCAGCATCCCCTTAAGACACACAGTATAAATCATGCGTCTTAAATGTCATTCAAGCTTCGCGCACGTGCTAGCGCAATATTTCTCAATGCCCATGCCGTGACTAACGTCAAAACAAATAACACTCCTCACATAAAATAGAGCCAGTAACCAGGCGCAACATTTTCCTTAGAGATACGCTTTTATTACGCTCGCGCTTCCGCATTGTCATAATGAAAAGTATGAAACAGAGATGCGAAAGAGCGTGGAAAAACGTTTCGCGAAAGTATCAAGTCCACGCGCAGCCTTTTATGAAAATCATTTATTATTTATTTTTCTACGTATTTTTTTTTTAATTTAATTTTAATAGTTCTTTAATTTGATAGTATATATTCTGGACTATCTTTATTAATAAATCATAAGAACAACAAAAGGAAGATTGAAATAATATTGGTTAAAAATTAACTCCATACTTCGTATCGTGAATGAATAGATCTTTTTTCGTGTTCCCACAGACGTGCCATTACCGTATATAATTATATCCGATTTTGAAATTAACGATCCACTTATATCCACGTGTTTCCGGTGCTGTTGTCTGACGTACACAAATATCCATTACTTGATTGCACAATATTCTTTGAGAACAAATTCCACTCTCTGAAGAAAATCAGCGATATGAAATTGAAACGCTATTGTGTAATATTGTACTGTAATTGAATGTATATAAGTGCGTATTTTGCGCGCGCGTTCGATTAAAAATTTAGAATCCTATCAAAATAGAAACTTGTATGAAGCTGTAATTTTCGTATGCAACATTTAAACATTGCGCAATTGTGTAACAGTTAAATTTAAATTTTATATAATTACCCATTAAAATATATTTCCGAAATATTACGAAGTAAAAAAAAATTATCTCACGATTCATACGATAGACGTTTCAGCATTCATTTTGTAGATTTTCTCAAGCTCTACAAAAAAATAACACGTTACGCAATTTGAATATTGGTAATTCCTGTGTTTTGCATCGCCTTTTTTATATTAATTAATATAACAGTGTTACAGATAATTCCCGCCAACACATTGGGTTTCGCGTTCGCGTTTAGTATAAGATTTATCTGACAATGAGTCATCTCGGTCATCCGAGGCGATTCTTCTTGTGATAAAAAAAAATTGCTAGAAATTATAACATTTTCTTCGTTCGTGTTTCTGACCGTGAAAAAAAAAATGTCCGAGATTACGTTGACCCCCGCGCGGTAGTTCCCTACATGCCTTGCTCAAAGAGTTTTTAAATACCGTTGTGTAAATATCCAGCGTGTAAACTACCAAAGTGTTATCTGGCTGTCAGTTGATCGCACTCCTCTCGCCACTTTTGACAAACAACCGATACAATTCTGCTCATCACTCGTATGAATATATTCTTGTCAATTCGAGGATGGATTTTATTTTTGAATTTTGATTCGTTTCGGAACACTTCGATTCAATATATATCTCGTCTTGCGTCTCGAGCGGATCAAAAGCGGAGTAAAAAAAAGTACAAATAAAAAAATATTTTATGATGGCATTTTATCCTAAAGCATATCTTCTATGATACGTAGTGAAAGATGATATTCTCATTGTTCAACATCGCAAATTTAATTTTGGAAAGTGAGGGCTATTCGAACTTACAATTAGACCTCAATATGAATAATAACATTTAGTAATAACATTTAATTAATAAATTAATTTAGTAATCAATTTCAGTCTTTGCTATACATAAAGTACTAATTAAGTTTTCAAGTGCCAATCTGTTAAAAACGCTACGAAAGAGTATCGCGTTCAATAACATTTGAATCGTTCCGGAATTTATCAGATACACCCAAATTTTGAAATGCTTACGAAGTACTCTGTATGTACTTTCATCGTCAAGAATAAATTTGTTCTCGTTGGCGACGTACGTCTTCCCGGAATTGTGTTATTTATGTCGCGATATTGTGATAACGCGATTCTGCGTATATTTATATATTTGTTAAAGATTTTTAATCGCAGACATATCACGAATGAAAACATTTGCAATTACACACATGTATTACTTATTCTTTTGAATTCAGATATTCCAATCGATTCTGATAAAATTGATAATAACTGGATGAATTAATCAAAT